AATTGTTCAATACCATCGTCAATAAAACTCTATGTTGTTCTTAACAAATACCTAATAACTTACTTAAAGATTAGAGGGTTCCTCATAAACCCTAAATCTTATTGTCCTAGTAAATATATGTAATAACAATTTTTTTTGTTAAAGAATGTAAAAACAATTTGCAAACAAAAAAAAAAAAAAAAACAAATCAAAGAATATCTTGCAACATTAGCTTGTTATAGCTTTACCAACTTTCATGATCATTTTATCTTCTTCATGATTCAAGAGATCTAGAGATTAACCTTCTTTTCTTTTTTTTTAAGATAACTTAATTTAGTTTCTCATGTTAATTAGCACATTCAAATCCCATATAATTAGATGTCTTTTCTTCAATTCTTGTACATACAAGTGTCCATAAGTACGATACGGATCGATAAAATTCGATAATTATGTATCTCACCAATGTTTTATGAGCAATGAAAGGGCTGAATCTTTGTCCTGACAAATGTCTTTACTATAAAATTAAAATCGAATTATGTGTTAGCTGTTTTAATGTTTGGTCCGTTGGATACGCCGACGAAAATGTATAACATCACATGACTATTTGTTGCTATTATTATTAGTATATTATTATTATTACGGTCCCATATTATTTTATTTTATTTTCCTTATTATTTTTAGTATTATTGATTCCGTTATTTTTATGACGACTAGGATGTTGTTGTGAATTGTAATCAAGGTATCTACGTGCACAGAGGGGAAATGATTTATTTAAGGAATATTTTCAATGCAAAAAAGGAAAAAAAAAAAAAAGAGAGAGGAACATTTCTAATAACGTAAATCTGTAATTTATAATAAATCCAAATATTAAATATAAATACTATATCTGTAATTAATAATTCTAAGTTTTCTAACCAACAGAGAGCCAAATTACGAATAAAATAACTGAGGTAAATGTTGCGCTATGTATGTAGCTGCCAAAAAAAGAAATGTTGAGCTAACTTTCAAATTTCAATGATAATTAATTGGTCAGACATACATTAGAAAGTTTAGAGAAAGGATTAGATGAAAATCATGTGGACACATTGAAAATTCACCACTTCCAAACCATGTCTTAAATCCAATTATTGCAATCTAATTATAGCAATTTTTCTTTTTGTCAACTCTACAAGGATAATGCACCGTATAATTTTATTTTAATATCATACTACCTTTTTCATAACATCATTACCAAAATATGGATTTGGACTTAGGAAACTTGATCTCTTATTCATATCAACACTAGTTATTATTATTTTTAACAATCCAAGATACATTCCACGTACAATTTCCAAAGAAGAAATAACAATTTCACTATATATCCGAATAGACGATGAAGATGCAGTTATTTTGGTGTTCTGTAGAAAGATGAGGAGCTCGGGTACTTGGGAGTTAGAGCGTTTTTCAAGTTAGGAAAAAGAAAATTATATTTGTTTGAAGACAAAAGGAATCATGTAAGTAAAGGGAAATTTGCTTGAAGAGAAAAGGAAATTGGCAAAAAGGAAAACCTTTTCCTTATGGGATTTGGAAACTTTCTCTTAGTGTGATTGGAAGAACTTGAGGCGCAAGTTTTTGTTTGTTATATAAGGGGGACGTGACCTTATGAGAAGGTGGATTGGCAAGAGTAAAAATCCCAAAGAGATTTGATGTGAGAGATTGTGTGTGTGATCGTGTGCGACGTAGTTTTGCGGGTTTGTGCTTGTGTGATCAAGCTTATTTGTGTGTTGGTGTTGACGGTTCATATTGGAGAATCTTGGTGATCGTTGGGTTCGTTGGCGTGACGGTTCGTGTGTGGTGGTTGTTCCAAAGACTTGGAGAATTGAAGTCTAGACTCAGAGGGAGTTTAGCTCAGGGTTAGGTTATCCTGATTAAATTTAGGCTCAAGAGAGTTTACTTAAGGGTAGAGATTTATCCTTAAGATTTCATGTTAATAGAACGGAGCGGTGAATCAAGAGGGTTGTGCTTGGTTTACGCGTTTGCGAATAGGCTGTATTTGCTTTCTTGTTCTAGTGAAATCGAAATCTGTACGTGGTCCCGGGGAGTAGTAAAAACCGAACCTCGTTAACAAATTTCTTGTCTCGTTTACTTTCCGCTATATATCGTACCTCATCCGCACTTATAATTGGTATCAGAGCGGGTTCTCGATAGAGATTTAGTCTTGTTTCGGGTAGATCAGGGTGAGGTTCAGGAGATCGTTCAGAAGATTATTCAGGAGATCGTTCAGGAGATCATTCTGGAAATCGTTCAGGAAGTAAAACAGAGCTAAGAATCATGCGTTATGGATTCATACGTCTCAGTTTGTATTTGGTCTAAGAGAGTTAATCATTACGATGATGGTGCAATGGTATTTCATTCTTCGTTTAGATGGAGGCGATCGTTTGGTTAGTTTTTGACCATGATGTGACTCAAGTAAGGGGAGATTGGAGTTATTGGTGTTGTGTTACTGGTGATGAAGTTATTGAAGCTAGAGTTGTTGAGTTCACATACATAGTCAAAAAGGGGGAGATTGAAGATGCAGTTATTTTGGTGTTCTGTACTAGTCGTTGAAGTAGTACAGAAAGTAGTACAAGATGTGATTCAGGAAGATGAGATGCATAACTGCTGATGAGGAGCTCGGGTACTTGGGTGTTGGAGCGTTTTTCAAGTCAGGAAAAATAAAATTATCTTTGTTTGAAGACAAAAGGAATCATGTAAGTAAAGGGAAGTTTGCTTGAAGAGAAAAGGAAATTGGCAAAAAGGAAAACTTTTTCCTTATGGGATTTGGAAACTTTCTCTTATGTGTGATTGGAAGAACTTGAGGCGCAAGTTTTTGTTTGTTATATAAGGGGGACGTGACCTTATGAGAAGGTGGATTGGCAAGAGTAAAAATCCCAAAGAGATTTGATGTGAGAGATTGTGTGTGTGATCGTGTGCGACGTAGTTTCGCGGGTTTGTGCTTGTGTGATCAAGCTTATTTGTGTGTTGGTGTTGACGGTTCATATTGGAGAATCTTGGTGATCGTTGGGTTCGTTGGCGTGACGGTTCGTGTGTGGTGGTTGTTCCAAAGACTTGGAGAATTGAAGTCTAGACTCAGAGGGAGTTTAGCTCAAGGTTAGGTTATCCTGATTAAATCTAGGCTCAGGAGAGTTTAGTTAAGGGTAGAGATTTATCCTTAAGATTTCATGTTAATAGAACGGAGCGGTGAATCAAGAGGGTTGTGCTTGGTTTACGCGTTTGCGAATAGGCTGTATTTGCTTTCTTGTTCTAGTGAAATCGAAATCTGGACGTGGTCCCGGAGAGTAGGAAAAACCAAACCTCGTTAACAAATTTCTTGTCTCGTTTACTTTTCGCTATTTATCGTACCTCATCCGCACTTACAGACGAATCTTAGATTAGACCACATAATGATAAAATGTTATCAAATCATATTAGTTAGCTTTTTGAAACATCAGGCATATATTGACTACCCTTATGTGTTTTATTTTAAGTCTAGTTTGGTAAAATTTATATTAAGAAAAAAAAAACTCTAGCTAGTTTGATTCGTCTGAATACCAAATTCGGAACAATATTAAATTAATTATAAAGATTAGTTAATAAATGTAAATTAAAGATGAAACTAAAGTGAAATACAAAAAAAAAATGTTTGATGATTATAAATATTCAAATCAATTCGTAATTTCGTCCTTAGCACATAATGAATTTATATCCACTAAAATGTATGTAGTTCAACGGATAATTTTTTTTTTTTTTTTTTTTTCAACGGATAAATTTGGTAACCTTTTTTTCAATTTTTGTCAACGCGATTTTGGCTGGAAGCATTAAAAGAGAACGAATATGTTAAAACATTGATTGATCCTGTGGCTTTGCTTTGAATGGTTACCAATCATATATCAACAACACGAAAGATGTTGAAATGAAGAGTTTGTGTACTTATTTGAGTTTATTTTGAATTTGCATTAAAGATAAGCTTATGGTTACTTATAGGTTGGTTTCTTTACTTATAGGTTGGGTTCTTTACTTCTTTAAATAATGCTATTATAGGTTTGCATGCAAGAAAACAAAAGGCCTAACAAAATCACATGCAACGGTTTTGTTAGATATAGGGAGGCCCCTGTCCCTATGGCCCATATTGTATATATAATCATTTACTTCATGTATTTTGTTTAATAAGTTCATTTTATCTTATTTCATCATTGTTTCTTTCAATAATCAGAAAATAATCCGGATTTTTACCTGACTAATCTTTCAGGATGAGTGTAACCGTCGAGTAATCCATTCAATGAGTTTTCTAATGGCTTTAAATTTAATATCATTTAGATTGGCAAATTAAAAATGGTTGGATAATTTTTTTGTTACATAATAAAAAGTTATTAAATATATGCTAGAGGAAGATAAATATTAAATAGAAATTAACTGGGGAAGTGAGTCTTAAGAGTTTATGTATCCAAGATTAGCCTTTGCATGTTGAGAATATGTAGCATAATGCATGAGAATGACAATAACACACACTTGTCACTTTAGATGATTTATGAAAAAGAAAATTATGTAATTCTGTAAAAAAAATATAGCAAGCAAATAAATGTGTGACATGATACATAAGCTTACCCAAACACAAATCCTTTTCTAACATTGGGCTCAAATTGACCTAGTCATAATTTGGGCTGTCATAATCTATCAACTTCAATCTATCACTTAAGTTCAATTCACAACAAGATCCTTGATTGATTGATGGCAATGTATATTTGTGCACCAAAGAAAAGAATATAAATATTAATTAAAAAATTGAACTATTTTTTAAAAGAAACGGTAAACAAATGTAAACTTTTATACTTTTGCGTCTCGTTCTATAAAACATACTATATATCTTTTTGCTTTTAAACCTTTTGACCAATACCAATTTCATATTATGGAGATAATCAAATAAACTAAACCTAACTACTACATAAGAAATAAAATTATTTAATCATATGAATACAACATATATTGCTAAATGTAAGAGAAAGTAAGAAGTAAAATATGATAAGAAACTAACCACATAATAGTTTCACAACTTTCGCAAATTACTGTTCAGAAACTACAATATCTTAAATAAGACCAAACAAATTAGTAGTAGAATTAACATTAACAATAAAAAGTCCAAAGAAAAAAAAAAACGAAAAGACAGCACCAATTGTAAATATCTCTCAATAGTCAATACCATAATATTAAAGACTAAGCAAAAGAAGAAAAAAAGATGTTACCTTCTTACATTTTCTAAGTCCCTTTCACTGGCATTTCTTATAAACTGGGAACTTCTTCTCCTTCTTTCACAATTTTCTCCTAAGTCGTTTACCTTTTATTAAACTTCAAGGTCTGGCTCTCTTGTTACTGCAACTTGGGCATTTGTAATGCTTGATGTGTTCTGCTTTTGCAGGTGTTATCTTCACACATTTTCCATGGAACCATTTCTCACACGCGTCGCAGCAAATCCAGAACTCATCTGTACCGTAGTTGTCTCCACAAGCGCCACAAACCGCACCTTGTTCATCGTCCTCTTCCTCGTCTTCACTCTCATCATCTTCTTCTTTTGGCGGTGGAGATGACATCTTTGCAACCTTTGTGAGAGATTCGGATTGGCGAGACTGCTTGTGAGTAATTTCAAAGAGGTAACAACTTAGCAGAGAGTTACAGAGAGAGATATTGATAAAAATGGCGAAACAGAAGAGCTACCTTGATGCCACTAGGTTTGCTTTTGCTATTGTTGTTGTTAACAGATAGATCCTTGGACTGCTTTGCATTGCTGCCACTCACCACTTCGAAAATGGTCGGCAGCTCATTAATCATCTGGAACAGTCTCTTCCTGAAAAAGAATCGGTCCATCGCACAAGCTTAAAGGCAAGTAATAGCTAAATTGTTTTAACAAACTTAATTCCAGAAAAGAATTTGTTGAGATCCAAACCAGTAAAGTTCATTTATTCAGTCCACCAAAGAAATACACATAAAACACTTTGATTCGCGACCAAAACCCAAGAAAAATCCAGAGTCTCATTCTGCGCAAACTTCCTATCAATATACAAATTCAGAATCACCAACTAACTCTGCTCAAACTGTTTAACCTGTCAGCTACCAGTATCAGCTAATGGATTCAATGATCATTGCTGCAACAACGGTACAATCCAGTACAAACTACCTAGGCTAATTACAGTGATCCTGGACTAGACTAACACAAGAAATACTAATCAGAATCAGGGCACACATCACATCTATTGACCTATATCTTATATATATACATCTCAATAACATTGATCAAGTTAGGTGTGCTCTAGTCACTTCAATTCTGTCTCATGAAGCAAATGATAGAAACTGGGAACCACTTACAAAAAGAGTTTAATAGAAACCGACCCTTTGAATAAGATCCCGTGAGTTAAAAAATCCAAACAGAGATTGTTGACATCAGGCACATAGACAAAACAAGAGGATGCTATAAACAATAAGATCCCACAATATTTTCATATATGAGACGCAACACTCAAAAAGACCCGAGGTTAAGAAGGAACATTACCTCTCGTTCTTACCAAATCCGAAACGTGCACCAAAGTAAAAGGCAACAGAAAGCAGCCATGAATCACTGTGAACCGCGACCAAAGATACCCAGTCCTTTTCTTGCATTCCGTCTCTTGCGAAGTTAATGCCCAAAGCTGGTTCAGGAAGCTCAGGAGGAACTTCCTCAACGGGTAGATTAACCTCCCATGTCTCATTTGGAAGTCCATAGAGACACAAATTCTCCTTCTCTATATAAACAAGAATAAAACACCTTAAAGAAAAACCACACAGAGGTCTAACTAACACAATCTTTAACCAACAATATTCAACAAAACAAATTCTCCAAAAAGGTTACTTTGAAGCTAAACAAGACTAATTTAACAGTTGTGAAGAAATAACTCACCAGGATCACACGTTTGGTAAAACTTCACCATATCTGCATAAACAAAACACAAACCCAGAATCGTCAAATCTCACCAAAGAAACCCAAAATAAAAAAGTTCTTCTTTTTCAAAAACCCAAATGCAACAAATCCTTATCATTCTGATTCGCAAGTGAGAAACAAAGTAAGCTAGAATCGGACCAAGAAGACCAAAACTCACCATTTGTGAGAGCTTTAATAAGACCAGCTCGTCGACCTCTGAAGTCGCTAAAGACCTCTTCAACAGTACGAGGTATTGGATGAGTGATTCCTTCCATTTCTCACAGACGATGCCACCGGAGAATCAATTTTTTCAGCTTCAGAATCGCCGGAGAATATGAGTATTCCGGTCAAAATCAAAATCTGAGACAAAACAGAAAAAACCCAGAAGGAAAAATATCCACTTTGGGTTTCGGATTTGGGGAAATGAAATTTGTAAATCTCTGAAAGAGAGATTTTTTTTTTTAATTTGGGGGAAACTGAGAAAAGAAAAATAGACAAAGGAGCTAGTAACCCTAAAACGATAAAACAAAAGGGACCGATCAAAGATAATTTTTGGGGCTGAGAAGTAATAATATTATAAAGACAACATTGTGTATTTTATTATATATCTATTAATTAATAAAGACAACATTTTTTGTTTTATTAATTCCGATCTACATACCCTACTTATTTTTCGAGCTACATTCCCCATCTTATAGATTCCCGAATTATACATTTTTATTTTAGTTTTTGGTCAAGACATTTATTTTAGTTTTAAATTTCGAATATTCTGTGTTTTTAGAAGTGGACAAAAAAACATGTTGAGATATCCAAATTAATCGATACTTTCGTTTCTGTTTTCAAGTTTTTGGCTTCTAAGAGCATCTCCAATGGGGGAGTTCTCTTCATGAGCTCTCTCAAATTTTTTATAATAAATTTTGAGAAAGTGTTAGATGAGAACCTTTAATTTTTTTTTTGCTTGTTTTGTGTCCAATGGTAGGTTCTCTCCACATGATGAGCAAGAGAAAGCTGTTGACCAGATGGAACTAGATCCATCTCCTTCTGAACCTCTTCGAAAGGCTCGAACACAATGCCGCTTAATGTGCTTGTGGTGGTTGAACTCTTGGAACCACGAAGAGCGAACGAGAGATTCCCGAATTTTTCAGAAGAAATCGGAGACGAAATCGAGAAGAAATCGAAATCGAGAAGAGAGGAGAGAAAATATAGAAGCAGCTTTGAGAAGAAATCGCAACAGAGGGGAGAGAAAAGTTTCGGAGAAAACAAAGTAAAACGACACAGCTTTTTTTTTTTCTTTTTTTTTAATGCTCCACCCACTCTTTTGCTGACACGTAGGCGGTTCTCTTCATTTCTCAAAAGCCTCTGCAAAGAACCAACTCTCTTCTAATTTCCTCCTTTTGAATTATTTTTGGTCCAATTATTCAAGAGAACCCATAATTTTTTTTGAGACAACCTCCCATTGGAGGTGCTCTAATAAAGTTTAAACCGAATCTAAACCATAAAAAAAAAAAAGAGCAGGCTGAGGCATTAAATTGATTATATAAAGTATAAACATGACCTTAAAAGTTAAAACCATTCAGGCCCAGTTTGTATTGTACTGGAATAGTATGTCTGACCCATGAAAGAATAGTGGGCTTTTGTAGGGGAAATAAGATTTCAAGTTTTGAACTTTTTTCTTTTTGGTCACCATTTGAAGTTTTGAACTATCATCATGTATACGAATATACGTATCTTTATTTTTCACGATTATACCGGAAATAGATGGTTCTGAAAGTTACAATTCTTAAAAGAGAAAGAAGGAAAAACGAAAAACATTTTATCTTTCATCACTGCAAAATAAAAAAATTAATCAAATATTTGTATTTTTTGTTTGTTTCAAGATAAGAAAAGAAGGGAATAAAAAAAAAAGATAAGAAAACGGACAGTATTTATACGATTAGTTTGGTACTTTTGGTTTGAATAATTTTGCGTTTTGTACGTCGTACTAGTCAGTCTACTAGATAGGGAACACATTTAGCACAACTAAAATCTAGTTTGTCATGGAATAATAATAATGTGGTATATAAAACTATAATGTAGACAATTAATACACATCATTTAAATAATCAAATAAAACATGCAAATACGGTTATAGGTAAACCGGTTAGAAAGGTAAGTTTATTTTATTTATTTTTGTCAACGAAAGGTAAAATTTAAAATTTATATTTTGCTAATGGATTTGCCACATATATTATTAAAGATTGTTATAAGGTCTAAAAAGGCTATTATGAGTTAAAGCTTTAGAAAAAAAAAATTCATTAAGATATAGGATAATGATTTTTTAGAATATACAAACTATTCATGCTAGCCAATGGCCATTCTTAAAAATCACGGGAACAACTGCTCTTACCAAATATTGCACGTCCTATGTTTCTTTTCTTTTTTTTGTCAAACCCTAAGTCTTAAACTTACGAAGACAAAATCTAGCTAGCGTCTTTTTATATTTCTATCTCAAAATTAGTTGTTGAATTATCAAGAGTTAGTGGATTATTTATCTATAGAGTCGTCGAATTATCAGGTAATCAACATATTGGATCTAATGTAAACGACAATGCCAAATGAATTCTAACAATTAATAAATAAACGACAGAAAAAAAAAAAAACAAATATTTATGAAATTAGAAATGGAATGAAGACCAAATATCATTAGGTTGGATTTGATAAGGTTACCATTGTTAAACGATTGTGATTTAGTTAGTGTTTGTTTTTGGTCTGGCTTCGGTTAGGGTTCTTACATGAAAATCTAATCCGATAAGTTTGTTTCTTCTTTGGTTTGTTTGAAAACTTCTAATACCGATTAGTCATAGTTAATAACTTAATATTCATATATCACAATGATTTTTTTTCAAACTAAGTTGGATATTAGGATATAGCTTAAAGAAATAAACTTTAACACAAGAAACAAAACTACTTAATTGACTATATATGTTGAGAATCAGTTCCATTACATAAACTCGCAGTAATCAATCATTGTCTATCGCTATATCAATATATAACGAGTATGAAAATATGGCAAAGCAGCATTAATAATTATTGTAATTGATAATAATCATGATCTAGTTAAATTACTTAAAAGGAATATTAATATAATGATCTCTGTTTCCATCTGGTACTATTGGATTCCACATGTCCCACAAAGCATTGTTTGGAATTGTTCCTGCAGGAATCATGTTCATAGCTAACGCTGCTTGCGTTTGAGGCGTTAGCGCTGTTGCCGTAGTCGCCGCCACCAATTGTAACGCGTTTGCGTTAGCATTTTGTTGTTGAGTATGATGAAACTGTTGAGCAATTTGAAAGTATTGGTGATTGATATTGTTACCTCCATCTGATATTTGGTAGTTAACTAGTCTTTGAAGATCGTCAACAATGGCGGTTTCATCATCGTCTTGATTACTCGTAGAGATTATCGATGTGTTGTTGCTTGTGCCATAAGGCATTGGACGATATATGTTTTGGTTTGCTAAAGCTATGGTAACGTCAGAGTTACTGTTTGTGGTTGTTGTTGTGGTGCTGCCGTCGCCGGAATATTCGGTGGAGAGCTTCTCAAGATTGTTGGTGTTGTTGTTGTTAAGGTTGTTGTCGGAATGATTAGAGGAGGATGAATGGTGTTGTTGTTGTCTTAAGGCTAAACGGGATGATGATAATGAGTTATGGTTATGATGTCTTGTGGAGAGAGAACGTGGTACCGATGGATGATCTTCTACTCCTGGCCTTTTGTACACTCGGCATAATGATATTTCAGCCTACAATTATACATTTAACAATTATCAAATTGTCATATAGACTAACAATATTTATGAAAAGTATCATTTATGAAGAGAATCACATGAAACTATGTAAAGTTAGCATTAGCAAAAAAAAAGATAGCACGTTTAGAAGAAATTTAGACTACTATCATATGCGTACCAATGTATAATTAAGATGATTATATTTATTTATTTATTTCTATATCTTTAATTGTGTAATTTTAGTTTTATTAGTACAAGTGAATGTGCAATACATACACATAGATTGGTAGACTTAATTATGTCAACCCTGTTGTTTTAGCTGTCTTATGCATACATCTTATACATAGAAACTTTATAAATTTATGGTTTCAAATGGTGACGACACATAAGTCGAAAGATCCCAAAAATGTATTTCTCTATCCATTGTCATTTTCCGTATATATAATATTTTTCGGTCTACTCCATAAACCGTTATCAATCTATATAGATTTTAAATTTTCACATATAGATATGTTGGTATAATTCATATATGCCAAATAATTAGAAAAATATTGGGTAACTTGAATAGAAGACATGAATTAATGTGAGAAAGAGCAGCAACATTCATGTGATAAATTGTAAGAAAAACTAACTATGCCTCTGCAGAATTAAGGTATATGAATGTCGAGTGCGATACTTGTGTGTGTATATATGTGTATGCATCTATCTATTAATGTACTCTACTATAACATATGGGCCATGTCTAGCAATTTAAAGAGTTCACGCATATGACATGAACATTTTTCTGGATTTAAGCGCAAACGCCGCCTGACATTTAGTCCATTCACAAGTATTTTTGATCTCATGGAATCAATTCCAAAATAAATAAAAAACTAATCAAATTCAAAAAAATTATAAATAAAGAAATTCAAACAGTCTAGGGATTAATTTCAATTTTAAAGGCCTCACCACCTAGCTAGGGTTATATCTATGTACGTATGAATGTGATATTTATAGAGTTAATAGAATTTATACCTTTTGGTATTTCTCGGTTTCATGGTGAGGAAGACGATACTCGTTCATGATCCAACTAGTACGAGTGCCTTTTGGGGCTTTACCGGAGTAGAAAACTAGGGTTTTCTTCAATCCGATAGGCCGAGATGTCTCCGATCTGATCATCCGATCAGCTCCTGTGGCTTTCCAATATCCTGAAGTCGTTACTCGGTTTGGTCTATCTCCATTTCTATATTTCCGATCTCTTGGCACATAGAAGTACCACTCTTTCTCTCCTATAGCCGCCATAGCTGCATACACACATATGTATATATATATTTAAACATATATAAGCTAATTATGAAAACATAGACATATATATATTATGATAGATTTGAAAGGTTTCTTGATTTAGGTTAAATATAAGAAAGAGGGAGAAGTGTTTAAAGATGTTGAGAAACATAGAAGATCGGCGAAGTAATAATCCATAAGGAGGTTACATAAATAGGTTAAAAAAAGAAATAGAGAGAGAAAGTGATAAGTGAGAAGGAAGATCTTAACATATGTATAGAAATTAAAAATTTCCAAGTAGTTTGAGATGATTTATGTGTGTATATATATATGTGTGTGTGTGTGTGTGTGTGTGGGTGTGGGTGTGGGTGTGGGCATGGGTGTGTCTGTGTTTATGTGAAATGTATATTTACCAGGAAGTTCCCAAGGATCATAGCGATAAAGATCGAGGAAAGTGATGAGTTCTACATTGAAGCGTTTGCCTTCAACTTTTCGGCGAAGGTAAAACTCTATGAGTTCTTCTTCGGTAGGATGGAATCTGAATCCGGGCATGACCATGTCATGATCATGATCATCTGCTTCATCATCATTTTGGACATGACTCTCTTGGCCGCCTCTGTGATCATCGTCTTCTATACCTTTTTCGTTATTGTTGACTTGGTTACTCATGGGAATGATGCTTGTTGTGGAGGATACAATTGCCATATATAAAAAGAGACTATATATGTATGTGTGTATGCATGTGGATTAAGATGATATGATGATGAAAAGAGATTAAGGGTTTGTTTGGTTTTTATACTAACAAGGGAAGGGAAAAAAGAGAGATGAAATTGAGTGGTGTTGAGTAGAGATAAGAGGAGGAGAAGATGAAGGGACGACTATATAGGAATGAAACGTCATCGTTTTTGGGAGTTGAGACCAAACTAGAATAAGACAAAGAGAGAGAAGAAGAGAGTTAAGGAGGAGACAAAGACTTGTCAAATTGAGGACAGGGTGTCCACGGTTTTGTTTTCTTAGCCGTGCCTTTGGACCTTTCTCTCACTCTCCATTTCTAGTTTTTTTTTCATCAAAAAGATAAATTAAATATCCATCTACTAGCTAGTTTTACAAATCTTATATATATATATATATATTGATATTTAAAAAAATTTATCTTAATTTTTGTTTCTACATACTATCGTTTTAAATATTTAATGATTATTGGTTTTTAACACAAAAGGAAACGAAAATTGATATCTCTATCTTTTATTGGAAAAATTGAATATCATTTATTATAAACGGAAAAATATTTAAACATAACTAATTGACATTTTAAAAAATGGATGTCATAGTTACTAGGTCAATTCTACTTGGTAAAAATAACTAACGTTTTAAAACTTAAAAGTAATATTATCAACAGTTGATTTGGACATAGACGAAAATTATGGACCGAAAGTCTAAATTATCAATTCAAAAAAAAAAAAGATTTTATAGTTTTCTCCGCACATGCACCATCACACGTTAGAAATTCTTTAATTTTCGTTAGGTTTATCATTTATGATTGGTATTTTCTAAAGACAATCTAAACTTTAGAGAATAACAAATAAAGTTTATTTAATGTATACTTTGTGTAAATAGTCTATATTTTTGGATCCAGTCCATTGCTACCAAAATTGCGAAACTTTAACTAATTTAATCCTCCGGATCAAGGCATAGCGATAAAAATGATCCATAATTATTTATTATTACTAGATTGTTACCCGCGGTACACCGTGGGTTAATTATTTGATTTTTTTTGTCTTTTTATAAACTGATGAATTTGTTGTATATAATATTTTTTGTTGTACATTGCGAGTCACATGCGTTGTAACTAAAAATGAAAATTTTAAGTTGTATTTGTTTTGTTTTGTGTTTAAAATTGTATAATTGTATTTTGATTTGTTAATCCCAGGATTTCACCCGTGATATATTATCCCGTATTAATATCAATCCAAATCCGATCCGTCCCACCATATAATCATGTCCCGTAAAATTAAACATCATTTTGTTATTTCTTTAATAACACTTTTATTTAAAAGACATATAATTCGAGTCCATTTAAAAGTTTGCTTTCAAATAGTTTCTATAATATCATATATATATATATAATATATATATATATAATAACAAATTAGTGTGTGTATTTAGACCAACCCGTAAAATATCTTGAAAATGTCTCATTAAAATACTAAATAATTGTATTTCGATTTGTTAATTTTAAGATTTCACCGTGGTATATTGTCCCGTTTTAGATAATTGTAGAAATTAAGAAAATATCTGAATGACTCAATTCCGGGTCAGAGTAAAAAAAAAATACGACCTGATTAAACGCGCAAATTTGTTTTTCAAAAATGTTAATATAGATTGTACACATATTTTTTCTTCATCGATTGAGTAATATGTCCATTTTAAAAAATTTGAATCATAGCATATGCAGAAAAAATCGAATTTTTTTATTAAGTATATATATTTTATAATAGTTCAAAATAATATAAATATAAGATCATATAAAAGTGAAATGAGAATCATATATTTATGTTTTAATTAGGTAGAGAGGTTTTAGGAAATTAGTTTAAATTTGTTATATTAGCATTAAATAATCATATTTGATTTCTATATCTATAAAAATTGTAGAGAATATGCCATAAATAAAGAGTTTAGGTATAGTAATTAGTTGAGAAAATATATATTTTTTAGATTTTATTGATTAATTTTCGTTTTTTAATTTTGTCAAAAATAAGGAAAGATCCGATTGAAGATTTCCGGGTCAAAATTAAACAAAATTTGACCCGATTAGGAACCCCAAAAAGTGTTGCAAAAATGTATAGTAGATTATAGGTGGATTAATTGAATATCAGATATCTATACTAGTATTTTTGTAACACTTTAGTAACGGGTGTGTAAAAATGTTTCTGGGTTAATCGGATATCCGACCTGTTTTTAAATTCCTTCACAAAAAAATACTTGGATCGGGTTAAATAAAACCCAACACATACACCGGATATTCTATATTTAATAATTTAGATATTTAGAAGATTTGATTAAGATTTAGACTTATGATTCTCCTATCATCTTTGTTTGATTTGTTTTTAACTGGTTTGAATCATCATATAATACATAAGTAATAAAAAATCAATTCTTTTTCTCCATATACTGTGATTCGAAATTTTAAAAACGGACATATATTATCCAATTGACGAAAATGTGTGTTCAACGTTCTACATCGATTAAAATATTTAGACAATGATTCAGAATCATATCATAAATAAGATCAACACTAATAAAATAAATGAGTTTTTTGGCGGGACGGGTTTGGCGGAACGGGATTTTGAAATCAACAATAATAAAAAGATTAAAATATCATTAATCCGTCGCTTTAATACGGATTAAATCTTTAATTTTTTTTAATACCACCAATATTAGATATATTAAATCAGTCTCATTTAGAAAAGATTGTAAAAAACAAAAAATTGTCATGTAGTATAATGTTACTTAATAACAATTGTAAACTATAAAATATAAATATCTTAAAAAATTATAAAATTTGTAATCTTTTATATATAATAAATAATCGTTACATTTTAAAAATTACTATTTTTTAGAAAACAAATCACGGGACGGATTAAGAAGTTATAGGACGGGTTATATTTCGGAACTAAGTTATATGGTGGACGAGTTTGAATCAATATTTATAAAATTTTAAAATATCATTAACATGCTGCTTTAATACAAATTAAATCTTCAGTTTATTAAAATATAAATGTCTTAGAGAATGATATGATTTGTAAGCTTTTATATATAATAAATAATCATTAAATTTTAAAATAAAAATAAATCACGGGACGGGTTAAAAAATTACGGAATGAGTTATATTTTGGAACGGATTTATATGGCGGACAAATTTGAATCAATATTTATAAATATCATTAACATGCCGCTTTAATACGGATTAAATCCTCAGTTTATTAACAATTGTCTCGTGGACTCGTGGTATACCGTTACTTAATAACAATTGTAAACTATAATATAAATAAATATTTTATAAAGAGATACAATTTACAAAATATTCTTATACTAATTTTAAAAATAAATCATTCCGCAGTGTACCGCGGATTAAAATCTAGTCCTTTAAATAATGTTAAAATTTGGATTATTCTAGTTATTTTATTCATTTGATTGAGCCAAAGAATTCTGATTGGTGGCCTATATTACTATTTAAATAATAATATCACGTATGCTAACTATGTCACTCGTCATAAATATATTTACGTGTTTTTCATATGCTTCAGCTTCACGAACGTTCTCTTATTGTTTCACAATATTTTTTTATGATATATTTGGCCCACCATATCTTCATTACATGATATTATTTCTACAGTTATGAATGCAAAACAAACTGACTATGATTTTGCCAACGCTCTCCATGTTCATATGACTTACTAAAAACTGAACTTACAGTACATATGTTAGAATTTAGAAACCCGCCAGTTCTTCAGAAATTGTATTAATATATTTTATATATATACACAATATATTATGGGATATAGATATATGTATCTATATGTATAACTGTTCCATTTTATTGGTAATTCAAAAATACATATAAGATATTTACCCTAAATAATAAACATCGTAACGACATTAGCATATAAATAGCTGAGCTAAAAACTCTAGTCAAACTGTAATATATTTAAGTTCAACATGGAAAGATAGATATAATATATTAAGTAGAAATTTTAATACTTAAAAGTTCAATATGGAAAAATGAATTCAAAGTATCAACGTAAATGAGATAATGAATGAAAGTGAGGTGGTAGTGGGGCTTCTACGAAACGAGAGTGGGGTTTTTAGAAACCTTACTCTACGTTTAATGACTTCATATCTTATATTTTTAATTTTCTCAAATGTTTCAATTCAAAAGAAATCCGTGAATGCATGTATCTCATTCACAATAAATTTCATTGGATTGAGCTTAGTGTAAACTGACAATTTTCTATACCGATGTCATCACGTACCAACAAAACTTATGAAACGTAGAAAAAGTAAACAATTCATTTTTTGATAACTAAGTAAACAATTCAACAACCATTAATTAAAGCATTGTGATATCAGAAAATGAACTATTTTTTTGTTGTTAATTTGAATTTTGGTAAAGAAAATTATCTAGTTAAAGTGACTTTTTTTTTTTTTATGTTTAAACATTACAATTTATAATATTAATTTTAACTAGGAACTACAAAATCTCGGTACTCAAATAGGAATGTATGTATAGTTTTTGGAGATACATTTATATGAACTAAACTGGTATAATAAATTAGTTTCAAAGTTTAAGGTTTTCTTAAAAAAAAAACAATATAGGTATGAAAGGAAATATTATGTATGACATGGAGTCATAGGCATGGACCCTTCGCATATTGATATCAGTAAAAATATAAAATGGGGATCGAAATTAGGAATCAAATCTATATGAGAGTTTGAAAATAGATTAAGCTAATGTTGAAGAAAAAAAAAATATTAAGCTAATGCAATTAATGCAAACGAGTCTTCCATCGAATTGGCTTTTAGCTAGGGGTAGCAAGTAGGCTGGCGAGGATTATATAATGTACCTTCCAGAAGATTAAATTTATCATTTTTTCTAAAGCCATGAACTCGAATTTTCAGTTAAATTTGGTTTTTGAAACTGTAGAAATTTAAAATTTAACTTCAATTCGAAATAACA